TCGATGAAAGTCTGACAAAACAGTCTAGCAAAATCATGTTTTTTTTAGGAGGTGTGTGCGATGGTGTGTGTATGTAGACCACAAAAATGCACCAGCCTTGCAGTAGGCTCAAGGTGCTTCGCCTGCATGTGGCTTTAATTGCAGATAGGGTAAGCAATTTTTGAGTGGCCTACCACGACTCAGGCCAATGCGTGCTACAAAAGTTCTGCCTTGCAAGTTACTATCTTTCTTTTACTAATTCATCTTTTTCTCAGAGAGAGAGAAATGACTAGAAATTTGTAATTAGCGGATGAAAAACTCCGCACCCAAAAAAAAAAAAAAAAAAAAAAAAATCTTTGTTTATGCTATCATTTCACTATTAGTTTAATAAATTATTTTTTTTGCTTTTATTTCATTTTATTTCATTTTGGCACCATGAACAGAGGTCACTCATTTAGTACCTACCCTATGATAGGCAGTGTTTTGTTGAAATGATTTATGAATTCTTTCTAAATTTAGTCAATGAGCAAATGAGTGGTGTACCAGGCTACTAGCAGTTAAACAACGATTTTTTTCCATTTCGTCTCTTTTGCATCCAGCCACAACTAGGGCCAGGTGCATTCATATAGCCATGCAAGTTACTTTTCAGGGGGGAGGCCTTTTCACAGCACACTGACACATGACAGTGGACAGGTACGAAAGCAAGGGGGCAGGGGGAAACCCGTTATTTACTCCCCCTTCGGATACATATTCTCAACAGCAAAAGTACGAAAAACACCTTTCTTTTTCTTCTTCTGTTCCCCCCCCCCCCCCCCCTTCCCGTTCCCCCTGGACAGGATCGGCTGCTGGAAGGACAAATCACAGAAATCTCACGGAAGTAACCTATGCCTAGCCCGCTAGCTGTGCCTGTGCAGAGCCCCCCTCTGCCGTCGCTAACCACACATGAGACCCATGCAGCTTTGGCTGCACCTGGCCCACAACCCTCTGCAACACATACTCTTTGCCCCCAAGAGCTCGCACAATCTTGGGTTTGCAGGCGCATCCTTCACAATCTGGGTTCACCACAATGATTAACGCCAGCGGCGACAGCAGGGAAAACTCTACGACGACTCCCTCTTTTTGTTGTTGTTGTTGAGAAGTCTACGACTCTAATCGGATGTACAGTCATCTGTCTACGACTTTACAGATACTCGATCACCTGCACTTGCATCTGGACGTTCCGCATGGCGGAGTGGTGATCGCACGTGCAGCAAGCGAGTCGATTCACATCATTCATGCTCTCACCCTTGACACCATTCTGCTGTGGAGATGGCCCTGCGACAAGCAGGCTCCACCTGCAATCAGATGCGCTCTGTTTCCACTCCCAGGGCGTCTGCCCTGCCACTGCTACACCTCTCAGAAGAACAACATATCGTCGTCCTCTCTCTCTGCTTCGGGCGGCTTTTCTGGTGCCCATAGCTTGATCGTTCGATCAAAGGACACTGTGGATATATACTGGCCATCTGCAACAACATCGACGCCCATTATTTTGCCCTCGTGCGCTGCAAGAGTCTTGATCGGCCTGAAATCGCGTGCCGACCATATCCTCGCAGTGTTGTCGTAGGACGCCGTAACGAGAAAATAGCCTTCGCGAGGCTCGTACTTAATCTGGGATACAAGCGATGAATGCGCGGGGATGATGTACAGCGACTGCTTCTTCCGTATGTCCCATATCCGACACGTGTGATCCTCTCCACCAGTTGCCAAATGGTACCCATTCGGCGAGAATTCGACAGCGAGAACCGGTTTGACGTGCCCTTCGAGTGCGAGAATACTCCTCCCGGTCCGCAGATCCCAAACTCTACCCAGCGCATCGAGGCCGCCTGTCGCTACCAAGGAGCCATCCACTTGGAATGAGATACTGTAGACGCTGCGACTGTGTCCTTCCTGAAGCAGCAATTCGACCCCTCTGTTCACGTCCCACAGCCTCCACGTCTTGTCGAAACCAGCTGTCCCAAGGTAGAGTCCCGATGGATGGAAAGCGAGCTTTGCAAGTCGATCAATATGCCCTTTGAAGCATTGCACCTCTGCTCCTTCAAGATTCCACAATCTGGCTGTATGGTCTGCACTCGCCGTCGCAATGTTTCCCCCCTTGGTGTCTAGATTGCGCCCCGACTCTGGGTGGAAGACCACCGACGTCACCCGTTCCGTGTGGCCTCGGAAGACGCACTTCTTCTCGATACCTGGCACGCTCCAGAGCTTCGCGACTCCCGTCCATCCGCACGTGGCTAGCATCGATCCATCGGGAGAAAACGCGCATCCAGACACTGGCCTGTCGTCACCAATCTCGCTGCAGAGGTTGGTTGTGTAGGACATCTCCTCCAAAACTGCATCAATTTCTTTATCTATATCCTCGTCGGGGTCTTCCTGTCGGCGCATGCTTCGAGCTATCCTCGCAGCTGCACGGCGGAGCGAGAACTCCGCGATGTTGCCTCGAGCTCTCCGCAGCTCGGCACTGCCCTCCGTGAAAAACAGCTCAGCCTTTGGTGCTTCTTCATCTTCCACCTCTTCCTTGTCCTCCTCCGCACCTTCCTGAGCCCTCAACAACTTTTCCAACTCCCCCTGTGCGTCAAGCCTTGCCATCAACTGCCTCAGTCTGTCTCGCCGTTCCATCTCCCTCTCCCCGAACAATGTCATCGGTTCCCCGAGCGCTCTCAACCGTTGTCGGACCGCATTGTCGTTTGTCGGCACAGCCAAGGCTCGAGCTCGTCTCTTGATCTCAAATTCCCGCAGTAGTTTCTCTTGTCTCTCCTTGGCTGCTCGACCCTCTTCTGAGAGCTCCATCATCTCCATAGGCTCGTCCGCTGCCGTGTCGTCGCCCTTCATGGACTTCTTCAGCGAGTCGTCGTTGCCGAACACTTCCATATCTCCATCCTCCTCCCCGTCTTCTTCCTCGTCGCACTCCACACCTTCTTTGCCGCCTTCTTCCTCTCTTCCCGCCATTTTCACTCGTTCGAGCCGCTTCCTCTCTTGTATTTCCAGGCTGCCAAAAAAAATCCTCTCCCCCGGCACCGCCGGAAGAGGGATATCCTCCCCCGTCTCCATTGGATCATCAGCGATCGTCATTTTCTTTCCTTGTTGTCTTGTCGCCGCTACCCGCCCCTCTCGGATGACCAAGCCACTTCCTCTTCCGTGAACAACGCACCGGAGAAGACGAGCTACTACTGCACGGCTACCCTCACAGCCCGTTTTCCCAGCTACTCACTCCCATGACGGCCAGTGTGCAGAGCAAGCCTCACTATCGGCTATTGGCTATCGGCTATCCTCGCAGCTGGTTTACGCAGCTAGCGGCTGCCCTGATAGCCGCTGTGCGCAGTTCTCGGCTACCCTCATAGCCCCTGAGAATAGCTGCACCTTTCTATTTATTTTCTCACAGCACAGCGCCGTCTTGTCCCTCTGCTCTTCTGACAACACCTGACATCAAATCGTAGAACCCTAAAAAGTTAAAAACCTACCGCAAGTTCCAAAGCACAAAGGCACCCAGGGGAAAGAAAATTAAACACCCACAAAAAAAAAAAAAACTAAACATCCAACGCCCATAAAAAAAGGACGACAAATCCAACACCCAGAAATCAATGATCACCTCTAAACATCGAACAAAAGAAGACAAAAATGAAATCCAAGAGTTTAGGATAAAATTTAGAAACAAAATGCAAAAACATGATGAAGACCAAGGCCACATAGGACAGCATTGTGCCCAGCCTGCACTTCAGGACATTGCAAAGTCTGTCAGGTCCAGCTATAGAGTGGGGAGGTTAATAAGGGAAGTATATTTGAGAATACTCCTTCCCCTTCCGCGTTCAGGGGAAGAAAAAAAAAAGAAAAAAAAGAAAAAAACAGTAATAAATGCCTGTCTCCTCACCTTCACACTATATGCTTCATATGTTTACTACTGGTTGAACTAAGGGAAAAAAAAAAAAAAAAAAAAAAAAAAAAAAAAAAAAAAAAAAAAAAAAAAAAAAAAAAAAAAAAAAAANAAAAAAAAAAAAAAAAAAAAAAAAAAAAAAAAAAAAAAAAAAAAAAAAAAAAAAAAAAAAAAAAAAAAAAAAACACAATATGCTTCATAATAGTTATATGAACAACATTATTTAATATTTAGCCTGTCATGATACACACCATGCAAGACCGGACATCAGCATATTTCCCACACTCTCAAGTTTTTTTCTTTCCTCATTGCAGAAACAGAGGTCCTCTGTCTGTCTGTCTGTCTGTCTGTCTGTCTGTCTGTCTCTCTCTCTCTCTCTCTCTCTCTCTCTCTCTCTCTCTCTCTCTCTCTCTCTCTCTCTCTCTCTCTCTCTCTCTCTTATATATATATAGTCACACAGAGCTGCGCGATGGACAGACTGCAGACAGAAAGGAAGAAAAGGACAAGAAACAGTGGGCTGTGAGAGACTGTTCCTTGGAGTCTCACCAACTCATCAGGAGGCTATATATGCGTCAACACATCATCATAGAAAGCTGCCAGGTGAACCGTAGGCAGAGAGGGAGAAGAGGACAACAAACAAGGGGCAAGACAGACTGTTTCGTCGGAGTTCCGCCGACTCATCAGGATTATATATACATACAGATAATGATCTATTATTATGTATAATTGTATTTTTTATTATTTTATATATTAATAATATTAAATATATTATAAATATTATTGATCACCACAAATTATGTGGTGTTATATCGTCAAACAGAGCTGCCCAGTAAATCGTTATGTATGGCTATGCCTTACACCCTAGATGATGAACAACCATTCCTCCCACTCCCCCTCTTTTGCAGCATAACAGCCCAAACGCTCGAACCGCTCCTCGAACATCCACTCCACAGACCGTTCTTGGGATTTCCTGCTCCGATAACGATTCTCAGAGAAGTCAAACATGATGGCCACAATGCCAACAGTGTGATGATTAAATTGTTTTGAAGTTTATAAACTTTAACGTTAGCGTCAAACTCGTCTGTACTTATTTTCGTGTTTGACGCAATCGAGCACTTTACAGAGGCTCATGCATACGTACCGACCGACGACCCCTCACCTCTACCTGCAAAAACTCCAAAACTCCAATGAACAATTATCGACTAATGTTTACAAACTTCGACGAACAATCATCGACGGATCTCTAAACACTCCGACCGATGAGCATTAATTGTCGACGGATCGCAAGACCAAAATCCAATAACAATTCACGACGAGTCTCTGGAATCTCTTCCAGTGCACTAGAACTGCATATCCTGCATTCCAGTACATCACCGCAGCCATCGCCAACACGACAAATCCATTGCTGATTCTTTACGCCGCAATTTGGCTGCTTGTGTCTTGCGCACTGGACCCCATCTGTCCAAATTCGATAGACCATACTCATCAATGATTCGATGACTCGATAATTCGATGATTCGATGATTTGACAATTAGATGATTCGATTTAAGTGGACAGACGACGCGAGAGATCCAGACAAAGCTCGATGCTTAGGGGGGAAATCTGTGGCCACTGCTGGCAATGAAATTCACCCACCTCAGCCACCTTCCTTCCTGATGATGACAGACTCTGAGGGCAGATTAGTAGATTACCAAATAGAATTGCACCTATTTTTTTGAAGTAGTAGTTTGTCTCTGCTGATCCGACAGAACGGCAAAACTGTAATCCCAAGCTGGCCGCACATCAGCAACAACCGTGGATGCCACCCATGCTCGATTGTTCAGCACTCGTCCATTACGTGAACAACACTGGATGAACTGGGATGACCAATGTGACCAGGTACGTGCAACAGTGTGACCTTCACAGTGAACAACCCACCACCACGCCATTTTGCAGAGCGCTGTGACATCAAATCGTGACCATTTGGTGACGTCAATTACCGTAGCAGCAGGATGACATAACGCGATCCCATCCCTGAAACTTCAATCGTTCCAAAACAAGACTCAAAATGACAATATAATACTGAAAAAAGAAAAAAGAAAGAGGCCAATGACTTGTCAACGTTGAAAACGTAACTACTCACTCAAGATTCTGTGAAGAATCTGCATCGCCGTCATCTCATCGATCAAACACAAAGCACCACCTCATCAATCAAACACAAGTGTCATCGGCAATTGCGTCTATCGACTCTGGACATCTCCACTTGTAAGAAGAAGAGGAAAAGCCAAGTTTATTGGCATCAGAAGTATATACAGGACCAGATACATATACCCAAGTATACACAGGACCAAATACGTCTCCCCACATTGTTCGTCTAGGTTCGCTGCAATTTCTTCCATCGACAGCCCGTCCAGCAAAGCCGCTCCATACTTTTCATTCAAGTCCATGACGCGCAAATCCCCGGCACAAACTCCTGACAACATCTCTCTCTCTCTCTCTCTCTCTCTCTCTCTCTCTCTCTCTCTCTCTCTCTCTCTCTCTCTCTCTCTCTCTCTCTCTCTGTGTGTGTGTGTGTGTGTGTGTGTGTGTGTGTGTGTGTGTGTGTGTGTGTGTGTGAGTGTGTGTGTTCTGACATGCGCACTGCACACACACCCCACTCATCCATAAATGCACACACCTGCTGGTCTTGATGTCGATCTTCCCTTCTTAAGATTGTTGTCATGAAATTTTTGGATGCATGACATACTCCACCTGCCCTGAAGTTTGTCCTCCATCTCACATGAACGATCATATCCGTTTGTCCGTCATCTCACATACACGATCACATCCGTTTGTTCGTCATCTCACATGATCGATCACAGCCACACACTCACAGTTAAGTGTCGAGAGACTTGCACCAGCTGGCAGGGAGACAAGGTATGCCAGAAGAGACAGAAAGAGAGAGAAAGGGATATATATATATATATAGAGAGAGAGTTGAGCTACAGGATTTGTCTGTGAAGCATCCTAGGGTGTCCAGCAACATGCTCTGTGGTTGCGTCTTATTTCTCTGTAGCTTATTATGTTCGGGAGAGGCGAGACATCCCATCCCTCCTGCTCACGACCTGAATGACACGAAAAACATGCTGCGAGCGAGAGCTGCACTGCAAGGCACGTCTGTCAATCATTCAGCAGCATCCACCAGCGTGCCATGTGGCTGCATCTCATTCATGTGCAGCTTATCATACGCGGTAGAGGTAGAGACAGACATCCCATCCCTTCTTCCCTTCTGCTCTCACACACTGAGAGAGTCGAATTCCAGTTACTCTACACATCGTTCACCACCACACCACACCACACCACACCACACCAATCGGGCTGTGTCTTACTCATCTGTTCTTAGTCTCTAATTAGTCTTTTATTAGTCTCTAATTAGTCTCTAATTAGTCTCTAATTAGTCTGTTATTAGTCTGTTATTAGTCTGTGATTACTCCAACTATGTAGGGAGGAGAGGCGATGTATCCCATCCATCGTCCCCCTTTCTTCTCCAGGCATGAACAACACCCAGCTCAAGAAATCTGTCCCAATCTTTCCCATGGGGCTGCAGGAACAAGTTCCAATCTTTCCTATGGGCACCAGTCTCAATCTTCCCGTGCGATCTGGTCCCAATCTTCTCCTTGGGACATGTCTGGTTCCAATTTTTCCCAAGGGAACAGGTCCCAATCTTTCCCATGGGACAGGAACTGGTGCCAATCTTTCCCATGGAACAGGAACTGGTGTCAATCTTTCCCATGGGACAGGAACTGGTGCCAATCTTTCCCATGGAACAGGAACTGGTGCCAATCTTTCTCATGGGAACTGGTCCCAATCTTTGCCCATGGAACAGGAACGGATGCCAATCTTTCCCACGGAACGGACAGGAAATAGTCCCAGTCTTTCCCATGCGACAGACAGGAAATAGTCCCAGTCTTTCCCATACGACAGACAGGAAATGGTCCCAGTCTTTCCCATGGGACGGACAGGAAATGGTCCCAGTCTTGCCCATGGTGGGACAGGAACTGATGCCAACCTTTCCCATGGGACGGAGAGGAACTGGTCTCAATCTTCCCCATAGGACAAAAACCCGTCCCAATCTTTCCCCATAGGACAAGAACTGGTCCCAATCTTTCCCCATGGGACAGGAACTGGTCCCACTGTTTCTCATGGGAAACGGAACTGGTCCCAGTGTTTCCCATGGGACAGGAACTGGTCCCAGTGTTTCCCATGGGAACTACTGTTGCTTGGTCAGGAACACACGGCTTGGATCGCTTGGATCTATGTAAGCTTGAGGATGCTCAGGACAATCCCCAGCCGATAGCCCTCTATAGCTATTACGGCTAGAGAGAGTAGCCATCACCCTCGAAGGCAGGGTAAGAAGTGAAC